CTAGCCAATCCCCAACAAAAGGTAGACAAGGGGCAGGACATCCTTAAAAGTGTTGGAGCATGCTCAGTTGTCCTTATTTATATGTTCCTGAGGGTGGAAAACTCATGGGGGCAGTGAGGGGATGAATGCCCAAGAAGATAACAATTGAGGAAAAATGCATGGTCCTCAGGGCAGGAAATTAGCTTGGCTGATAGAGGAAACTGATTTTGATCCAATACACTGCAGGATGGCTTAAGAAGAGTTGCTTGGCATCAACACTGAGGAGTAAGGTCATTGATGCACAATGTACTATTTAAATTTCATTTTTGCATGGAGCTGCACTTCAAACTATCAGTCAGGGTAAAGAATCCTTCAACTTCTCCATTTTACTCCTGTTTAGCAATATAAAGACTTAGGCCTCTTTCTTTAGAGAGCTAGGGAAGAAGGTGGCGAAGCTTGGCTTTGGAAGTGCCTAGATATGGATTAAGGTGGTTTGTCAGCAGATATGGTGCTTACAGAAGAGCCTGGCCTGCCAGAGTTCCAAAGGATCAATCCTCCGTTGCCCGCCCTTGTCTTGGTGCAACCTCAGATGTCCCCTGGAGTCGTTGTAAGCCTCCTGGAAGCACATTTCCAGGCACCCATCGATCAGGTGTTCTCTGGGCAGCCCCTGGCCTCAGACGTGACCTCACATTTCCCTACCCCATCCAAGGCTTATGAAGTGCGGCCAAGTGATGGAAGAGGGCCACGTCATCAAGCAGGGCCACTCTGCTAACAAAGTTCAGAAGCCAGCAATGGAAGCAGATGCTGTGATTTTGATACCGTTTCCAGTGAAGATCTCTGTATAACTGCAATGTTTTATATACTATGAACTGTCTCCAGTTATGGCTCTGGGAGGTTTAATAACATAGCTGAGGCTCTATCACTTGATTCACACAATTGGTTCCATATGAAAATGTTGAAGGAATATTGTGTCCCTCTTATTTAGAGGATCTGATTTAGTTTCAACATGTTCTGGTATTAGGTGTTCTGTTCGGTACTTGTATGTGGAGCTCAATATGAGAGTGGCCTCTTGGACATTCTGAGCAACCCTAAAGTTCAGAAAGGGACTGCTAGGGCAATGAAAGGGGTGCTGGTGCCAGGAAGAAGGAACTTCAGACTTGGTATTGGTGGTGTCAGGTAAAGCCAAGAGATGAGGGCACCCTGACTTCACCCAGATGAGTAGAGAGCAGAGCCTGGTCATGAGTTATGTTTGGTAACAGGAAGCACCAAGCAGGATCAAGGTCAGAGATGAGCAGAGAGACTAGCAGTGTTCAGGCAACAAAGTACAGAATCAGTAGGAAGACGTTTGGTCAAGAGTCGGTAACACAGCTAGGCAGCAGACATAAACAGGCAGGGTGTTAGGAATGGACTGGCCAGCAATGGTGGGACTCACCTGCCTTTTGATCTGCAGTACCAGGGCTGGCCAGCGGGTGTTCCCAGCAATCAGAGACTCAACTCTGCAGCCAGCTAACACCTGTAACTGATGATGCTGGGGGGTATTTAAGGGATGGCCAGACCCACAGACTCTGCCTTGGTGTTGTGTTTGTCCTGGGCCCTGTATCTGTCCTGCATCCTGTTTCTTTGCTGACTTCTCCTGCTCTGATCCTGGCTTGTGACCCTGACCATCCCTCTGCCTGACCCTCTGTACTATGCTGCTTGCTACCTGCTGAACCTGGCCTGTGACCCCGACCATTCTCCGCTTGCTCCCCCTGTACCTACCTGCCCAATTGATATTGACCCGGCCTGCCTGACGACGCTTGCTTGTATGTACTGTTATCTGTGGGTGGTTGGTTTGGTTTGTTTGCACTGTATTATGTTTAGTATTGCACTGCGTTTATGTTTGTACTGTTAGTGTTAATAAATTATATTGTTTATAACATATCTGAGGTCTGCGTTTCCCTGCTTCAGTCACACACCTCTGGTCATACCTGGGAGCCCTGACATTACACCAAGGCCAATCCTGACCAGAAGTGGCTGCACAGGGAAGCCATCTTGGCTTGTTGATGGGAAGGATGGATCTTGATGAGGTTGAGTATTTATATCTGCTAGTGTTTGATGACAGGGAGTATGCTTATCAAACTCTGAAGGAGTATCCCCGGGATGAACTGCTAGAATGTATACGGATCGCTCATGTTCTAGTAGATCAGGGCACAGAGTTCTCTGAGGTGCAGCCATTGATTGAGGTTTGTGCAGAGTTGGTTTCATCTGGTTCCCCCGAATGCAGGGGAATGAATTTTTGCCACCATTTAGTGCAGACCAGGTAGAGTCCCTGGTGTGGTTATTAGAGGATGATGTGGGTTACTTTCTGGAGCGTTATTCTGCATGTTCACCACAGACAACTCTGAGAGATTGTATAAACGCAGTGCAGTCATTGACCAGACAGGCTTTGTGTAAGCTCAGCTTTGTTCAACCCATACTGCAGACATGGACAGATTAGTTGCACCCAGCCTCAGTCAGCTTACAAAGACCCAGTCCTGCTTCTAACTCTACTCCTGTATTCCACCAGCTCCTCCAGTTACAGCCCAGTATACTTGGCTATCTACCGCATGTCAGTCCCCTGTTCCCACTCGCTGCACCTATCCTGCCTTTAACCCTGTAAAAGAGCCCTCTGTAGCAACTGCTCCCTCTCCTGTTCCATCCTCCAGCTCTTCTCTGTCTCCAGCTGCTCCATTCGTTTGCAGACCTGCGTTTACTTGCAGTGCTCCAGTAGTTAAAACCAGAAAAAAAGCGAAAATTCTTTCCAACCAATACCATCCTGCCAGTATCCAAACCGGTGAGCCTGCCTTCCCCGTGGTTCAGACTGATGCCTGTACGCAGCCTGATGCCTCTACTCGGCCTGAAGCCTCTACGCGGCCTGAAGCCTCTCCTCGGCCTGAAGCCTCTACTCGGCCTGATGCCTCTCTTCAGCCTAAAGCCTCTGCTCGGCCTGAAGCCTCTACTCGGCCTGATGCCTCTACCCAGCATGATGAACTGATCCAGCCTGACGATCCTATTAGGCCATGTTGACTCGATGCCCGCTGTTGATCCAGATGATCCGGTACCTGATCCGGTGCCCGCTGTCGTGCCAATTGACTAAGAGCCCGCTGTCGTACCTGGTGACTTGGTGCCCACTGCCTTGCCAGATGACGCGGTGCCCGCTGGCAAGCCAAATGACCTGATGCCTGGTGACCTAGTGTCCGCTGTCATACCTGATGACCCGATGCCCGCTGTCGAGCCAGACAATCCGGTACCTGATGACCCGGTGCCCACTGTCGGGCGCTGTTGACTCGGAGACCACTGCCTTGCCAGATGACGCGGTGCCCACTGTCGAGCCAAATGACCTGATGCCTGGTGACCCGATGCCCGCTGTCCAGCCAGACGATTCAATGTCTGCCCCAGTGCCCGCGGTCATGCCAGTTGACTCGGAGCCCACTGCCTTGCCAGATGACGCGCGGTGCTCGCTGTCGAGCCAAATGACTTGATGCCTGGTGAACCGATGCCCGCTGTCCAGTCAGACGATCTAATGTCTGACCCAGTGCCCGCGGTCATACCAGTTGACTCGGAGCCCACTGCCTTGCCAGATGACGCGGTGCCCGCGGTCGAGCCAAATGACCTGATGCTGGTGACCCGATGCCCGCTGTCCGGTCAGACGATCCAATGTCTGACCCAGTGCCCGCGGTCATACCAGTTGACTCGGAGCCCACTGCCTTGCCAGATGACGCGGTGCCCGCTGTCGAGCCAAATGACCTGATGCCTGGTGACCCGATGCCCGCTGTCCAGCCAGACCATACAATGTCTGACCCAGTGCCTGCGGTTCATACCAGTTGACTCGGAGCCCACTGTCGTGCCTGGTGACTCGGTGCCCGCCGCTCCGCCTGGGGGCCCGAGACCTGTTGCTCCGCTACCGCTTGGGGTCCAGCGCCCGCCACTCCGCCTGGGGATCCGGCGCCCGCCGCCCCGCCTGGGGGCCTGAGACCTGTCGCTCCGCCTGAGGGCCCGAGACCTGTCGCTCCGCCTGGGGGTCCGGCGCCCGCCGCTCCGCCTGAGGGCCCGAGACCTGTCGCTCCGCCTGGGGGTCCGGCGCCCGCCGCTCCGCCTGGGGGCACGATGCCTGTCGCCCCGCCTGGGGGCCCGGTGCCTGTCGCCCCGCCGGGGGGCCCGGTGCCTGTCGCCCCGCCTGGGGGCCCGGTGCCTGTCGCCCCGCCTGAGGGCCCGAGACCTGTCGCTCCATCTGGGGGTCCGGTGCCCGCCGCTCCGCCTGAGGCCCGAGACCTGTCGCTCCGCCTGGGGGTCCGGCGCCCGCCGCTCCGCCTGAGGGCCCGAGACCTGTCGCTCCGCCTGGGGGTCCGGCGCCCGCCGCTCCGCCTGAGGGCCCGAGACCTGTCGCTCCGCCTGGGGGTCCGGCGCCCGCCGCTCCGCCTGAGGGCCCGAGACCTGTCGCTCCGCCTGGGGTCCGGGCGCCCGCCGCTCCGCCTGAGGGCCCGAGACCTGTCGCTCCGCCTGGGGGTCCCGGCGCCCGCCGCTCCGCCTGAGGGCCCGAGACCTGTCGCTCCGCCTGGGGGTCCGGCGCCCGCCGCTCCGCCTGAGGGCCCGAGACCTGTCGCTCCGCCTGGGGGTCCGGCGCCCGACGCCCCGCCTGGGGGCACGATGCCTGTCGCCCCGCCTGGGGCCCGGTGCTGTCGCCCCGCCTGGGGGCCCGGTGCCTGTCGCCCCGCCTGGGGGCCCGGTGCCTGTCGCCCCGCCTGGGGGCCCGGTGCCTGTCGCCCCGCCTGGGGGCCCGGTGCCCTATCGCCCGCCCGGGGGCCCGGTGCCTGCTGCTCCGCCCGGGGCCCGGTGCCTGCTGCTCCGCCCGGGGGCCCGGTGCCTGCTGCTCCGCCCGGGGGGCCCGGTGCCTGCTGCTCCCGCCCGGGGGCCCGCTGCCTGCTGCTTCGCCCGGGGGCCCGGTGCCTGCTGCTTCGCCCGGGGGCCCGGCTGCCTGCTGCTCCGCCCGGGGGCCCGCTGCCTGCTGCTCCGCCTGGTGGCCCGCTGCCTGCTGCTTCGCCTGGTAATCCGATGTGCCTCTGCCCGGAGTCCTGCCCGATGTGCCTCTGCCCGGAGTCCTGCCCGATGTGCCTCTGCCCGGAGTCCTGCCCCCGATGTGCCTCTGCCCGGAGTCCTGCCCGATGTGCCTCTGCCCGGAGTCCTGCCCGATGTGCCTCTGCCCGGAGTCCTGCCCGATGTGCCTCTGCCCGGAGTCCTGCCCGATGTGCCTCTGCCCGGAGTCCTGCCCGATGTGCCTCTGCCCGGAGTCCTGCCCGATGTGCCTCTGCCCGGTGTGCCTCTGCCCGGTGTGCCTCTGCTCGGAGTCCAGCCCGGTGTGCCGCTGCCCGAGTCCTGCCCGGTGTGCCAGTCTTTGATATCCCGCCAGTTGCCAGACCCGGGCGGTGGAACATTTGCCCAGCTAGGACTGTTTGGAGCGTCCTGAGGCCGCTCCTTGAGGGGGGGGTACTGTTAGGAATGGACTGGCCAGCAATGGTGGGACTCACCTGCCTTTTGATCTGCAGTACCAGGGCTGGCCAGCGGGTGCTCCCAGCAATCAGAGACTCAACTCTGCAGCCAGCTAACACCTGTGTAACTGATGATGCTGGGGTATTTAAGGGATGGCCAGACCCACAGACTCTGCCTTGGTGTTGTGTTTGTCCTGGGCCCTGTATCTGTCCTGCATCCTGTTTCTGTTCCTTTGCTGACTTCTCCTGCTCTGATCCTGGCTTGTGACCCTGACCATCCCTCTGTCTGACCCTCTGTACTACGCTGCTTGCTACCTGTTCTGATCCCTGGCTTGTGACCCTGACCATCCCTCTGCTTGACCCTCTGTACTACGCTGCTTGCTACCTGTTGAACCTGGCCTGTGACCCCGACCATTCTCCGCTTGCTCCCCCTGTACCTACCTGCCCAATTGATATTGACCCGGCCTGCCTGACGACGCTTGCTTGTATGTACTGTTATCTGTGGGTGGTTTGGTTTGTTTGCACTGTATTATGTTTTAGTATTGCACTGCGTTTATGTTTGTACTGTTAGTGTTAATAAATTATATTGTTTATAACATATCGAGGTCTGCGTTTCCCTGCTTCAGTCACACACCTCTGGTCATACCTGGGAGCCCTGACACAGGGTTAATCCAAAGGCAGGTCAAACGAAAGTGGAGTCAATATCAGAATAAAACAAATTCATGATCAAGAATAACAGAGATACAAGCTGAAAGACCATCCAGCTATGATCCCATGCAGGGCCCAGGTTTTTAAATAGTACACTAGGCGGCCAAATCTGCGGTGAAATGTCATGTAGTGTTAGATGGACTAGCAGATTTAGATGGACTTCACTAACAAACACTAACATGGTAAGCACACCTGTCAGCATAAAATGGTTTGTCTCAACCTTCTAACTGACACTTTTGTTGAATTGCTTGGTATGTTAACCATTTGCCGCCCGGCCTATAGCCGTTTGGCGGCCTCAAAAATGCTTTAGCTTTCCGAGGTGTACGCCATTTGGCGTCCTCCCGCACATGCGCAGTTCGCACGGTTGCAGAGCCGCGCAGTGGCACGGTCTGTCACCGGCCGTGTACCTCGGACACGGCCGATGACAGAACTGAGTACCGGTCCCCCGTTGCCAGTACCATGTGACCTGCTGTGACCAATCACAGCAGGTCACATGACAGTTGTATACAATGGATGGCTTCATTCATGCCATCCATTGTATACTAGTGCCTAGCTGTGAATGGTCACAGCAGGTCACATGCACATGTCATGTGATTAGCTGTGACCAAATCACAGCTAAGCACAAAAAAAAAAAAAAACCCTGAATGAATCGATGTCATTCAGGTAAATGCTTGCTTATAGCAAAGTAATTCTTTGCTATAAGCAAATTGTGTACAAGAAAAAAAAAATACTGATCACTTCCCCAAAGTAGTACAATGTTACTATGGTAACATTGTACTACTTTGGTCATAGTAAAAATATGAAAAAAAAATCTTAAAAATATAAAAAAATGTAATAAAAAATTAAAAATAATAATAAAAAAAAAAAATATATATATATTTTTTTTTCATACTGTCACCAGTCAGTGTCCCTGTTCACTGCCATGCCAGTTATATGATGATGCTGTACTGCACTGGTGACAGTATGTAAAAAAAAAAATTAATTTTTTAATTTTCCGAAAAATTATGACAAAAAAAAAAATACAACTTCAAAAAAAAACTCGCCATTCCTCTTATGAAGTACGTCGGACTGTCTACTCTGCAAAAAGGGGTCATTTGGGGGATATCTGTACTGTTCTGACATTTGGGGGGTATCTGTACTGTCCTGACATTCTTGGACCTCAAGATATTAGATTGGCTGTCAGTACTTCAGGATTGATCAATATTCAGATCTATCCCATAGTTTGTGAACTCTATAACTTTCCTACAAACTAAATAATACATCCTAATTTGGGTTATTTTCACCAAAGACATGTAGAAGAATACATCTCGGCCTAAATTTATGAAGAACAATTATTTATTTGTAAACTTTTATAACAAAAACAAAGAAAAACATGTTTTTTTTTTTTCAAAATGTTTTTTTTTTTTTTGTTAATTTAGCAAAAAATAAAAACCCCGGCAGGGATTAAATACCACCAAAAGAAAGCTCTAGTTGTGTGAAGAAAATGATAAAATTTTAGCTTGGGTACAATGTTGCATGACCGCGCAATTGTCATTCAAATTGTGAGAGTGCTGAAACCTGAAAAATGGCCTGGACAGGAAGGAGTAAAATTGCTCGGTATTCAAATGGTTAAAGGAAGTAGAAAAATAACAGACCTAAGGGAAGGATCGCCAGGTGAGACTAAAGGGGGAAAAGGCCTAAAAAAAAGAAAACAAAAGTTAGGCTTGGAGTACAAGAAGGAAGAAAGCATAGACAGAAGGGTAAAAGGGTTTGGGTCCAGGAGGGGTAGACAAAGTTTTTTCAGGGACTTACCAGATTGGCGGTTAGGTTGGAGCAGGAGGGGTTTCGAGGGAGTGGTCAGCAGAAGGGTCTCAGGAGGTCCTCAGCCAGAAGGTAGCTGAGTCTAAGAAAACTTCCTGCCCTCCTTCCCTTTATTCCAGTACTGTTGGTTCAATGGCTAGTTGACAGGCAATTTGTAATTTGTTTGATTGTGTCATGGCAGCTGGCAGGATACAAGGTCCTTGTAGGTTGCTATGGGGCACAAATGTGCATTGTAAGGACCCGTCTGAGAGGCCTAATAGAACCATGGGGATCCATTCATACTGTGTTTATTGTTGACATGTTATTTATGTGTTATTTATACAACATGTTAATAAAGGGCTGCTATGGCCATAAAACTCCTAGTTGTTGTCAGGCTGGTGGTGGTGGTGTCATGGTGTGGGGGATATTTTCTTGGCACACTTTGGGCCTCTTTGTACCAATTAAGCATCGTTTAAATGTCACGGCCTACCTGAGTATTGTTGCTGACCATGTCCATTCCTTTATGACTCCAGTGTCCCCATCTTCTGATGGCTCCTTCCAGCAGGATAATGCTCCATGTCACAAAGCTCAGATCATCTCCAACTGGTTTCTGGAACATGACAATGAGGTCACTGGACTCCAATGGCCTCCACAGCCACCAGATC